TTCCTTTTTTCTAGATAACATAATATAAATTACATGCAAAAAATTTAAAATTGTGACCTCCTATATAAATGTGTTTAAGCAGATTTCCTAATGGAGCAGCATTCTGCCCAAAAGTATTTTTGTGGGGCAGGTGCTAGGGCCTGTTCCTCTGTTCCTTCCTGGCTGGGCCAAGTCCTGGGGGTTATGTAGAGGAGGTGACGGCTTCCCTGCCCAGGGTCTAGTTCAAGGCTTTGGTAAGCCGGACTAGGGCAGAGAATCCTGGTTGGGGAAACTGGCCACCAGATGGCGCGCCTCGGCTGGGCTGGCACTAGACCAGGAACTGGTGTTTGAGAGGTTGGGGACCCCTTCATTACCTATCTGTGAAGGATAAGGTTGGGGAGCGGCTCGAATTCTGAAATACTTTAGTTCAGTATTAATCTCTTCTTTCTTTTCTCTTAACTCTTGTGTCCTCAAGAGCTCTCAGTCCTGCACTCATCTTTCTTGCCTCTAGTCAGGTAGGTAGGTCAGGGGTCTAAAGTCTGGCGGCAGAAAGCGGTGGAGAGCTCAAATTAACCAGGATCACTCAGGGGTGGAGCTAAAAACAGGGCCTGGGCACCTTGACTCCAAGGCCAGGGGCTGATACTCTTGACATACTAAATGCCTTGCACAAAATCTGGCTCTGCTGGAGAGAAGGGCCCTCCCCCTTGGGGTCAGGGGATTTGAACTGTCTAGGATGGACTTTAAACCAGCCTCATCCAAACTCCAGCCCTCCCTGGTTCTTTCCTCTGGCTGTTACCCATATTAACACTATGTGGAGCCTGACCAACTGAGAAAGATTTGTTCCCCCAAATTCCCTGCTGTCGAAGGAGGAAGGGGGTCCCTGCTGATTCAAGAAAAGGTGCTAGTAGCAGGGCTTCTAAGGTTTCTTTGAACTTGATAGTAATTGAAGAGGAAAAAATAACACTGGAGATGGGGAACAGAGACAGGTAATTTAGATATAAGCTGGTAGACTGGCAAAGTCAAAGGAAAACAGAACACAGGAAAATTTGGTTTTCATTGGTATTTCTGGGCTTAGTAAAATCTTCTACCTTCTAGATGCTTTATCTTTGGATAGCCCAACATGAAGCTGCCCCTTTTCCTTTTGCCTGCAATAAAAGTTCGACATGTGATCAAGAGATAATCTAGTGAGGGTTCTATGGCCCAGACTTAACTAAAGAGATCGTATCCAATTTTTTTGTCCTCTCCTCCTTTCAAAGCAAGTTCTTCATTATCTAACCAATCAACAAATGTTTGGAGAGGCCCAGCACTGTACAAGGTATATTGTACTAGGGATAAATACAAAAAAAGACACAGTCCCTGCCAATTTGAGGTGTACAATCTTCTAGCCTCCTTTTTCTTTTTCAATTACCTGTTATCTTTCCTCTACTTACAGCCTTTAGAGGTGTAGAGCCCTTTTTTTCTTCCTTCCAAAACTTAAGAATCTGAAGTCAATCATTTATAACTTTCCATGACTTAAAATTAATGTATTACCTCTCCTAGAAATATTTGCAAAATTAGGCGTGGTGCCTGTAGCTCAGGGGCCAGAGCGCCAGCGATATACATCAGAGCTGGCAGGTTCGAATCCAGCCCGGGCCTGCCAAACAACAAAGACAACTACAACAAAAAAAAAAGAAAGAAAATATTTGCAAATTACAACTTAGCTTTTTTAAGAGACAAGGCTCAAAACCTGTATTTCATCCCAGGTTAAAAAGAAATTGCTGAGGCTCATCACCATAGCACAGTGGTTATGGTACCGGCCACATACACGGAAGCTGGCAGGTTTGAACCTGGCCCAGACCAGCTAAACAACGACAACTACAACAACAAAAAAATAGCTGACTCAGTGAGTTAGTAGAGCGCCGGCCACATATACAGGGTGGCGGGTTTGGACATGGCCCTGGCCAAACTGCAACAAAAAAATAGCTGGGCATTGTGGCAGGTGCCTGTGGTCCCAGCTACTTGGGAGGCTGAGGCAAGAGAATCACCTAACCCCAAGAGCTGAAGGTTGCTGTGAGCTGTGACGCTGTGGCACTCTACTGAGGGTGATAAAGTGAGACTGTCTCTAAAAAAAAAGAAATAGCTGGGTGTTTTGGCAAGCTCCTATAGTCCCAGCTACTTGGGAGGCTGAGGCA